GCACAGTCTGGTGGTTTGTCAAAAAGTTACACAGAACTATGATCGAATCTTGAAATTCCACTCTCAGGTATATATGCAAGAGAAATGCAAATATATACACACACACACAACTTATAAACACATGTTCATAGCAGCACTATCCACAGAAGCCAAAAGAAAACGTCCAAACGTCCATCAACAGATGAATGGACAAGCTGTGGTCTATCCATACAGTAGAGAGTTATACAGCCATGAAAAGATATGAAATACTGATACATGCTGCAACAGATGAGGTTCACAAACATCATGCTAAGTGAAAGAAATCAGACACAAAAGCCTACATATTGTGCAATTCCGCTGATATGAAATGTCTGGAATAGATAAATCCATAGAGACAGAAGGCAGATGAGTTGCCTGGGGCTGCGGAGGACGGAATGTGGACAAACGGCTTGATAGGTAAGGGGTTTTGACTTTGGAATGATGAAAATGATCTGGAGCTAGAACGACAGGTAAGGGGTTTTGACTTTGGAATGAGGAAAATGATCTGGAGCCAGAAGGAGGTGGTGGTTGCCTAACATTGTGAATGTACTGACCTCCACTGAACTGTTTACTTCAAAATGGTTGATTTTACGTTATGTAAATTTCGCTTTGCTAAATTCTTTTCAGAAAGTTAGTCCTAGTACCTTGTGGAAATTGTGCTAATTTTTTTTTTCTCATTTGTTGGAACTGTTGCTCTCCCTGCATTTATTACTCCCACCCTAGCTGTAATCTTTCCCAAACAACCCCCTTCCCTATGCTTTTCTCTTACATGCTGTCTTTTGGGGAGAGGGTATCTTTGTCTTGGAGGCTTGAGTGGTCACTGTGACTCTCTGGGTTGCTGCCATGGAATGCTCCAGCCTCCAGACACACATATACTCACTCCTGTGCCCAATGTGGTCCTACAGGCTGACTAAATGCTTGTTCCAAGGTGGTCTTCTTTAATCTTTCTCAACAATCCATAAAGAAAACTCAGGAACCCTGGAACTCAGTGGGGTTCACTGCCTAATAATTTGGGCACCTCTACAAAACACTTCTTTAAAATATTATGTGATTGTTTTGCTAAAATACTACATATTATAGTTGTAATTCCTATTTATTGGTGATATCTTTGAGTATAAACAACATGAAGATAATTTCATTGAATATTTTTCCCTAACACCTTTGACAAAAAATTAGAACTCATTCTTTTTTCCTTATTTGTAGAAAAATCTCCCTCTCTCTCATGTCGCAATCATAGAATGATAGCTAACATTTATTGAGCAGTTCCTGTGCTCCACACACTGCTCTAAGCACACTGCAAAGCTATTACCACTCAACACTAAAGGTGATTAAGGTGAGGACCAGGGCCTTCCCCTCCCTCTCACTGGGGAAACCAAAAGTTGACCTGGGCCAGTGTGTGCACAGCCTGAATCCCAAAGCACTGTAACAGCACCACCCACACCAAACGTCCTATGTCTCGTTCTATTATACCAAGAGTTAGGGACCAAGAGCTTTCAGAAACTCATTCCCATCCCTCGATGTCCCACTGAATGCACGGAAATATGCCACTGCCTAAAGGCAAGTGAGAACTTCAGCAAAAGTTTCCACCAAACTGTGCTTCCTGTACTAGACCCCGAGGGAGTGAGGGCATCACCACCAGCAGACACTGAAGAGGTGGGTGGTCTCCTCCAATGGCCACTACAGAGGTAGGTCATCCCCCTCCAGTAGACGCCAAAGGGGTGGGTGGTCCCCTCCACTAGACACTGGAAAAGTGGGTCTTTCCCTCCACCAGACACCAAAGGGGAGGGCCACCCGCTCCACTAGACACGGGAGGGGAGGGTCATTTTTATTTTTGACCGTCTCAGGAATGATGTTCAGGTGGGAAGCCTGCAAGGAGAGTCCCACAGGGCAGGCTCCGCCCATCTGCGTAGCAACCAAAGGCAAATTTGTCTTAGAATAAGGCTGGGAAGGGAGGGAATCTGGGCTTTACCAGAGGATGGACAGATTGCTGAGCACCACAGAAGCTGGGGAATGAGGCAACCGGCAACGCTGCCTGGGGACACGGGATGTGGCACGAGACAGGGCACGGTGAAGTCGGCTCCGACCATCGTACGCAGACCCTCCTCAGGGCCGGAGAGGCTTTGGGCTGACGATGCAGGCAGGGTGCCCGGAAAGCCCTCTCAAGGTGAGACGCACCAGAGTTGAGGGGCACAGGGTGGATGTGGACAGGCTTAGCTTCTCCAGGGGAGGCGTATTCTTGTTACCTGGCTGATTGCAGCGACTCCAGTGCAGAACGCACGTCCAGGCTGTGTCAGCCTCAGAAACCTAAGCAGTTTTAACATGTCAAAGAAATTCACCACAAAGTATCTCTTTTGCACAATGTGATTTTCTGTCAGGGAAAATTTTGTAAGATCAATCTAAAATAATTCAAAAGCTTTGTCTTTGAGAACCTGGGCCCAGGTGTGAACTGCGGCCCAGAAAAGTGTCCAGATATCACGACACAGGCAGCTTTCAATTCAGGAACACTCTGTTAAAGGATGGTAAAGTAAGTGAAGAGTGCAACTGTTCCCTTGTAAACAGCTTGTGTACATCTCTTTTCAAGTTTGACTCTAGGGTACTCGGAGAGGTAGTTGGGGCACAGATGATTCCTGCAAACAATGAACAGACTGAAGCTCAGAACGGCTGAGCTACTGGCCCAAAGGACAACAGCTCACGGAGGGTGGATGTGCTGCTTTCCAAGATCCCAAGCCTGTTCTTTGGACACAAGGTCGGGGTCTGAAGCCTGTTACCCACTTCACATACACCTACCCCCAGGGCCCCCCATATGGTAAAGGGAGACGGTGGGTGCTTTCTGCTCACCAGAGTCCAGACTCCCAGGCCGAGGACCAACACTTTCGGGATAGAACCTGCCACCTCTCAACCCCCTCCACCTGCCACCCACTCATCCCAGCCTACTCCTCTTCACTCTCCCCCTGCCCAGAAGCATGTTGGGTTCTCAGGTCAGACAAAGTCTGAGGTTCCGTCTTCAACAGCATGCTGGAAGAAGGGAGCCCCTCACCACACACGTGGCACCTGCGGTCTTGGCTGGACCCAACAGCACTGGCCTGTCCATAGGGAGCAGCGGCAGTGTCAGGTGTGGGGGCACCCAGGTGGGGAACAGAACTGCTGCCCCAGGGCACAGAAGCACTGATGCTGTGTCAGCCAGGAGAGGCACCACCATTTCAGGCATCTCTCCTTCAGGGGAGAAGGAGAACCAGGGCCTTGAGTTTGGCTCAAACCTAGCTTTGCTGCTTCTCGGCAGGGAGACGCCGGGCAGGTGCTGAAGCCTCAATTTCCACCGTCTACAGAATGAGTAGCCCCACCTTGGAGGTCAGAGGTGAGGGTTAGGAGGCTCTAGATGGCCTGACTTTTGTTCAAACGCAAAGAGAGAACAAACTCATTCTGTTTGGAAGGAGGGAGGCAGAGGTGTCTGAGCTGGACTCAAATGATTTCTCACAAAAATCGGGGATCTGGGGCCTCCTGTGTTTGGCTGAATGATACATCCTCTGAACACAGGTCTCAGAGAGCCTTGGGGCAAATTACTTCCTCAGTTCAGCATTTTTTGGATACTTTACAAGTAATGAAGAATTTCTGTGAGACCACCGGCCGGCCGGAGAGCTAGCCAGGGCCACAGAGCCCACAAAGGCGATTTCAGACTAGACCCACCCACCAGAAAGGCCAGCAGAGCCCCTCTACCAGACTAAAAGATGAGGGGCCTCTGGCTAACACAGGGGACCTGACGCCCTGGCCTCCCGGCTGACTGCGAGGTCAGAGCCTCTGTGCTCCCAGCCCAGGCCACACCTGCATTTGCACACCAGATGCCACACAGTGAAATAAAAACCTGGTGTCTCCTCAGAAACAGAAGTCTGAACTCACTTCTCGGTGGGGGTCACCAAGCATGGCTGCCCAGTGGGTTGTGATCCCATAGAGAATGGAAATGCTGAATATCTCACTGAATCTCGGAAACGTCGGCCTCCTAAAGATCTCTGAAGTTCCCCCTGACCCACAGAGCCTGGAATTTTGTGAATTCGAGGCAGGCTCAGGGAAATTGAAAGCTAAAACTCACCTTTGTCCACATTACATGAAGATTTACAGTAAATCTCTTCGGAAGGCTGAGAAACCTACCTTCCCAGGAATCCTGATTCAGGGCCCACCCGCTGCCTAAGGCTCAGCCAAAAGTATCCATTATGCCCCGTTTCAATGACTTTTAACTTAATTTTTTAATTATAGGTTTTAATTCTTAATTAGACATCTAGACATACCAACTAAACTTTTTAGGCAAAAGTGCTGTTGAGTAACAGAAGTAGAGTGTAATTACCACACCTCAACCACTCTTTAGTTTCACACGAAACAGGGAAAGGCAAACCCAACGTACTTTTTGCAACTCACATGAAAAACCTGAAAACAGCTTTATCACTCTTTCCCCAAAAACCTGAAATAATTGTCTTGTTTTACTAGGAAATGTTTCTTACTTAAATCAACTGGCATTCCAACACAAAAGTCAATCTTGGTATTTTTAAGTAAAAATTCTCTCTGTTCCGGCCACCACAGGTCACTGCTCTGTCCCACCGGTTTGAACTAAAGAGTAACTTCGCAACTCTCAGTTTTGGCGACGAGATTTCACAGACTCCCCTCCCCTGGCTCCCCTTCAGGCACCGAGAGGGCGAATCTGTCCTGAAAGCCTATTTCTCCTCCAAGTATTCATGAGGCCACGAGGAAAAGGGCACCTGAAGCAGTTCCCTCCCGTTCCTGCAGCAGCCCCCGCAGGACTCGTGCCGGGACCCCCAGTGCGCCCGGGTCCGCGCCGGCCCGGCTGGACGTTCGCGCCCCCACCCCGGGCCCCACCCCGGCGCCCCCACCCGCGCCCACGCCGGGCCCCCTCTTACCCCGGCGCCCCCACCCGCGCCCACGCCGGGCCCCCTCTTACCCCGGCGCCCGGGCCGCCCCCGCCGTCGGCTGCGCTGAGACCCATCCCGGCCCCGAGTCTCCCGAACTGACTCCGCCAACGCCGCCTTCGCCGCGCGCGTTCCCGGGGCCCCGCCCGATCGGGGCAGAGAGAGGCGGGGCCGGGGTCTCCCCGAGGAGGCTCCGAGGGTCCGGCCTGGGCGGGGCGTCTCCCCGGGACCCGGCTGTGCGGCTCCCGCCTGGCCCCGGACGCGCCCACCTGGGCGGCTCCTCCCCAAGCGCGGGCGGCGGCGGCTTCTGCTTTTGTTCTCTCGGAGCCCGGAGCTCGGGACCTGCCATTTTGTGTGGCTGCCGCCCGCGGCCCCCGGACGGGCCCCTGGTTTCCATAACGTGGAGGCACAAATCCGAATGTTCCAGGGCAGAGGATCTGACCCCTGAGTTCTGCCAGTGTACGCGGACGGGACCGATTTCCCCTGGTCTAGGCCGAAAGGCGCCGGATTTCTGCAGGTGTGGACGGCCCAGACCCTCCCCTCCGTCCAGGGGCCGCCCCGCGCCTGGCCTGGAGCATGGAGGGCTTTAGCGGGGGCCCGAATTCCGCCACACCCCCACTCAGGGCGCCTCGGGTGTCTGGCGCTTTCCCCAAAGGTGCAATTTTAATGCCTTGATCTACAAAGAACCTCCCAAAACAAAGTCCCTCTCCCGTCCGCTAGTCCAGGGAGGCGGCTGTAGGGTTCTTGCTCTGGGCACCGGCTTCCTGCTAGGAACTCAGCTAGGGAGGGTCTCACCGCGTCCACCCGTCCAGGAGGGCCTCACAGGGACCTCACCTCCATCTAGAAACCTCCCTCAACTTCTTGTCTCTCACCCCTACCCTGGCACCATCCCAAAAACTGCAGCACAGATGTGCTTATTTACAGATAGTGCTCCGTTTCGTCACAGGTTACAGAGTGGATGAAGGTCAGGGACACAGCGGGGAACCTCCCCTCTATGCAGTAGGCAGCCTCCCTGGGATCCCTGTCAAGCCTCCCTTGAGTTTCTGTCTACTCCTCCCCGGGATCCCTGTCTGCGCCCTCCTTGCTTCTCCATCTACACCTGTGTTCTCACTGTTCCCTGCCCTGCCCACCTGCTCTGCTTCCTAGAACCTCCAGCCCCATCCCTGAGCCCAGGCAGGGAGCTGACCTGTTCCTGCCCTCTGTGCTGGGCATCTGGGTGTCCCTCTGTGCCGACCCCTACCTGACGGCCCCGACACCCCTGCCTCATCCTCCTCCCATCCCCGTGACAGTACTGCCCAGGGTGCTGTGCAGGATGGGAACCACCTTTCTAAACCTGTGTGGCCCCACAGCTCCTGCCAGAGCAGGACCCAAGAATGCTGGCATGCCTCCGGAATAAACGGCTTCATCCCTGTTCAGCACCTCCAGGACGGTCAGCAGCGATCCAGGCGCCTGGTCAGGGCGCAGCCCGGAATCTCACTCTGGAGTCGGAGGAGCTCGCCCCTGCCACGCATCCACTATGCAGAAAGTAGGACCGTGTGGGGCTTTCTCAGCCCAGGAGTCCTTTGTGAGCTTCTCCAGCCCCAGTTTCTACGGATCTGGTTCCTTCTTTGCCATGGGTCCATGGAATTACGGATGTTTTCTAGGAAGTTTTTCCAAAACATGGACTACTAACATAGCTTGGTTTATTTAAAAAGTACTTATTCATCAACTACTACTGGTCAGTCACAGCACAGCCCCCATCTTTGGGGAGCTGACATTCCAGTGGAGGGAAATAAACCAATGGACAGAAAACACAAATCCAGTCAAGGAAGGCCTTTCTGATGGGGCAGGCAGAGCAGACACTGAGAGGAAGGTACCTGGGACTTCTAGGCAAAGGAGCCACCTGTGCAAAGGCCCTGTGGGGTGGGGTTGGGGGGGACAGATCTGGTGAGCTCACAATCACAGCAAATGTGGGGACACTGAGAGGGGATGGGGTTGGAAAGGAGGCGACCTATTCTGACTTACATTTCAGAGAGCTCAGCAGGCCCAGGCAGGAGATCAGGAAGTACATGCCTGACCTTGGTGAAAGTGATGAGGTTGGGTTACGGGGGAATGACAGAGGTCGTGGGAAATGGTCAAAGCAGGACCTGTAAAGGCAGAGGGGGCAGGACTGCTGAAAACTGGCTGTGGAGAGAAAGAACCCAAACAGCATAGAGGCAGACACTGAATTAGTGACCCTGCCACCACCCCCCAGTATGCCCTCCAGTGTGCAGAAGTTGGAGGCTGCAATGCCACACTCCAGGATCCCTTGCACCTGGTGTGCAGATGTGCGCATTTTTGCCAGGAGATGCACTACGTGAGATGGGGAAGGAACCCAGGAATCGGGCTGGACACAGCAGATGGGTGTTGCGGTGTTCGGTTCTTCTGGGTCCTGTCCCTGGCATTGTTGGTGCTGAGCAGCAGAGGACAGGGAGTGGGGGTTTCCCTAACAGTCCTACAGCGTGGCTGGGCATTTCTCCAGGGTTGTGGTTGTTTCTCGCTGTTCTGGTTTCCTGACTTTCCCATGGATGCTATGATCTACCCAATGGCTTCACACATATCCTTCACTGCTTAAATTAGCTACAGCGGATTCTGCTGTCTGCAGTCAAGAGTCAGCAGCAACACAGCAATTCAAGGATTTGGAGCCTGACCAGCAGGTGGAAGGTGTTGCCATTGACTGAGATGGGAGAGACTGGAGAAGCATGTCCAGGAGGAAATGCCATATGAAGACTGAGCTGCCTATTGAACGTACTGAGTGGACTCCCTGCTGTATGAGTTTGGTTCTTGGAGTAGCGGTTGGGTTGGAGATGTGGTTCTAGAACCATCTACCATGCAGGTGTGTCTAGACAGGTGGAACTACGTGTGCAGACAGAGGGCAGGAGGAACTAGGACTGGGCCAGGGAATGTGTCCATGCTTAGAAGTCACAAGAGTAGATAGATCTCCTTCTCAAACTCTTTTTAAAAACTGGAATGGAGGGAACGCTTCCTAACATATGGTAGGAGGCCAGCACTTCTCGGATACCAAAGCCAGATGAAGACATCGCGAGAAAGAAAACTACACACCAATATCCCTTATGACTACATGTGCAAAAAACCTCAAAAAGATGTTAGGAAATAGTATGTTAAAAGGACTATTCACCACGACCGAGTGGGATTTATCCCAGGAACATGGGAGTGGTTCAATATAAGAAAATCAGTCAATGCCGTGCACTGCACTAGCAGGACGAAGGGAGAAAACCCACACGATCATCTCAATCAATGCAGAAAAGGCTTCTGAAAATTCAATACCCTTTCGTAAAAAAGCTCTTGGAAAACAAGGATGGGAGAAAATTCCTCAAGTGATACAAAGTATTTATGAAAAACCCACAGCTAACATCATACTCAATGGCAAAAGACTGAACATTTTCCCCAAGATCAGGAAGAAGACAAGGGTGCCCACTGCTGCCATGTCCACTCAACACTCTGCCGCAAGTTCCAGCGACAGCAACAGGGACAACCAACAAAAAATAAATAAATGAAAGACTTTCAGATTGGAAAGGATGAGGTAAAACTCTCTCTATTCACAGGTAACATGTTCGTATATAGAGAAAATTCCAAAGAATACACAAAAAGCTACTAGAGCTAATACAAAAATTCAACAAAGTTACAGGGTACAAGATTAACATGTGAAAATCGGTATTTGTGTTCCTATGCAACAGCAATTAATACGAAAAGGAAATTAAGAAAGCAATTCCATTTACAACAGCATCCAAAAGAATTAAATACCTAGAAATAAGTTTAAGCAAGGAAGTGAAAGATTCATATGCTAAAAGCTACAAAATATTGAGGAAGAAATTAAAGAAACAAATATATGGAAAGCCAATGTCATGTTCATAGATAGACAACATTGCTAGGACGTAAATACTAACCAAAATGATCTACAAATTCAATGCAATCTCTTTCAAAATTGCAATGGCTTTTGTTGCAGAAATGAAAAGGCAGGTCCCCAAATTCACGTGGAATTGCAAGAGGCCCCAAATAGCAAAAACGATCTTGGAAAAAGAATAACAAAATTAGGAGACTCATACATACTTCCTGAATTTTAAATTTACCCCAAAGCTACAGTAATTAAAACAGTACAGTACGAGCGTCAGGACAGACTTACAGACCAACAGAATAGCAAAGACAGCCTGGAAATAAACACTTAACATAGACAGTCAAATGATTTTTGGCAAGGGTGCCAAGAACATTCACTGTGTAAGGGACAGTCTTTTCAACAAATGGCACTGGGAAAACTGGATATCCACATGCAGAAGAATAAAGTTAAAGCTTACCTTACACCTGTAAAAAATTAACTCAAAATGAATCAAAGACCTAAATTTAAGAGCTAAAACTATAAAACTTTCAAAGAAAACACTGCAGTAAATCTTCATGGCTGGATTTGCAGTGAAGCACACTCTCAAGAAAGCAAAAGGACAGTCTGCCAAGTGGAGAAAATACCTGCAAATCGCGTACCTGATAAGGGCCTAATTTCCAGAACACATGAAGAACTAAAACTCCACAACAAAACAACCCAATTTAAAAATGGGCAAGTAAGTTGAATAGATATTTCTGCAAAGAAGATAGACAAATAAGCACATGAAATGATGCTCAACATTAGTTATTACAGAACTACAAATCAAAACCATAATGATACTACTTCATGCCTACTAGAATGACTCTAATAATATACTTTTTTAATGGAAAGTGAGTGTTGGCTAGGATGTGGAGAAGTTGGTACCCACAGGTTGGTGGGAATGTAAGATGGTGCAGCCACTGCAGAAAAGTCTGGTGGTGCCTCAAAGAGTTAAACACAGATGTACCATAGGACCCAGCAATTCCACTCCTAGTTGCAGACTCAAAAGAACTGCAAGTAGGGACTTGAACAGATAACGGTACACCAATGTTCATGGCATTAATCACTACTGCCAAAAGACAGAAACAAATCAAGTGTCCATCAACAGAAGAATGGATGAACCATATGTGGTCTCTACACACAATGGGATATTATTTGGTCATAAAAGGGACTGAAATGCTGAGATCTGTGACAGCATGAATTGAATAGACCTTGAAAACCTTATGCAGAC